TAAAATGAAGGAGTGTGTCGGGGGTCTTATGTGATCGTAGAATACCAATGGAACTAAAGAAAGAAATTTTATAAGGTAGTTATAAGACCAACAATGCTTTACGGGTCAAAGTGCCGGGCAATTAAAAAATATGTGCAAAAAATGAGTGCAGCAGAAATAAGAATATTACGATGATTTTGTAGGTATAAACTAAAAGATAAAATAAGAAAATGAGTGCATCCATAGTAAATTAGATATTGTTCCTGTTAAGAATAAATTGAGAGTGAATCAACTAAAATGGTTTGGTCATGTACAACAAAGACTTTTGAGTGTACCAGTTAGGAAAAATAATAATATTATAGTTAATGAGGCTAGGAGACCTAGAGGTAAACCTAAAAGAACTTGGTTGGAAGTAATTAAGAAAAATATGATTGTGATTAACTTAACATGGGAGAGGTCCCATAATAGAATGAAATAGAAAAATAAGATTCATATAGCCGATCCCAAGCACTTTGGATAAAGGCTTTGTTGATGCTTTTGTTGTTCTTATACTAGAAATCTATGATGACAGAGTTTTAACTTGGAGTAGGGTGGCAAGTATCATTCTATAGTCGGAGTACAACTCACTCTAATTAATTATCAATTTGACATGGAGGTTGACATTCACCTAGTGAGTTTCACTCTACCTAAGAATTGTCATAAATCCTGAAGTGGACTTGACACGTCCCATGTTCCAAAATAAGAGTACAGACACATGACTCGACCGATAGCATGTACAGGGAACCGGGTCAAGGTGGCACTTGTGCATACTTACGTCATTATTTAGCTAGTCCAATGAATATGAGGACAAAATGGTAAATATGTAGTGTATGTGGTCAAACTACTAATATAGTTAACAAAAGGCAGACTATGACTAATCATAATAAGACAACTCTTAAACACGATAAGGTGGGTTCAAACTAAACATTGTTATAGTGGTAAAACCAAGGTTACAAAAGCCCTAGGCGGCCTAAATGTTGGACACTGCGCCTAGAGCCTAGGGGCCTAGGCGGGTGCCTAGGTAAGCCTAGGCATTTTTCTTTTTTTAATTACAATTAATGTTATTGAAAGTGCTAGGCACCCCGATATGCTAAACTGACACCTAGCGCCTAGGCACTAGGTCTTGGGGAGTATTTTTTTTGTTTAAATGGTGATGAAGGAGATTTTGCTGAAGGTTGACGGAGTTAAAGGAGGTGTTCGTAGTCGATGGAGGCGGTCGGAGGAGTTTGAAGGAGGTTAGAATACGTGGATGCAGCAATAGAGAAAATCATGATCAAAATCTAAGCTGAGTAGTCCGTTTAAACAGTTCTGGTCTTGTTGGTGCTCCCAATACCTAGGCAGGTAGCCTAGGTACCGCCTAGACATAAGCAAGAGCCTAGGTGTGCTGTGCAAGAACTTTTAAAACATTGTGGTAAAACTATAATATAAACACTCAATAGCTAATTAGAGAGTAAAACAGCCATATCTCACAAAATCTTGTCCATAAGCTAAATCATCATAACTTGCAGAAAGAAAACAAATACAAGAGTCGTTAGGCAGGCGACCCACAACAAGCACCGGGAGAGAAAAGAATGAATGAAAGGCAAAGAGAAGGTATAACCCATAGGATATACTCGGAGATTGGACACAAAAAGCATATATAGAGAGGTAGACCAAACAACAAAGAGATATATCGTGCATATGTTTAATATGAGGAAAACTATAGATAGCTCCATAGAAAGTGAAACTCAATATATCACATCACATAAAACGTAATGGAACAACCATACACTCAAGTGCTCAGGATCATTACTATCCATTATGCTAATCATGCAATGCAACATTTTTGAATCTCAAATAGATAGTCCATGTCACATATCACTTCCTCAATCCACTCTCAAATTCTAATATATGTGAACCATCTTATTTGGAAAGTTTTTCATTAGTCTATGTGTATGAGACATCTGTCGGATTTATGATATCATCTAACTTTATTAAGTTTATGATAGCAGAAAACACATCCACCAAGTAGTCATATAACTTCTCATATTCAGTCCCCCGATTTTACCTATCAATTTACTTTATATTAGTTTGTTGTACATAAAAATTTATACACTTATTCTAAAAATCTCAATGCATAGAAAACATCGCTTCATGACATTTGATACCCATATGAATAATGATATCACACGATACTCATTTATGGTGCCCTCTATGTTGAGAGCTCAACGATAACGATATCTCGAATTATGTATCCAAACATATTATCCTTCATATAGCTTGCGTGAGAAATTCCAAACGAAATCCAAGAATCCGGTGAAGTGATACCTTGGATATTAGACCATCAAATGTCAAACAAACAAGAACGTCAAGTGGGTAATGAAAATCCCTAATAAGCATATTACATTGTCATTTCCCAACTTGGGTTTTAAACATAACATAATGGGTCTCGACATCACGCACAACTGAGCCTTAGGGCTTGTTTGGATTGAGGGGAATGAGGGTGAAGGGAAGTTAGGGGAACCACTCACCTCCATTCACCTTGTTTGGGAACACTTAGGAGGTGAAGTTAATTCACCTCCATTCACCTTGGTTCACCCCCTAATAGTATAAAAATTGTTACCCCCCAAATTGGGGTGTAACCAAGGGGAAGGGAATTCCCTTCCCTTCCCTTCCCTTCCCTTCACTCAGTTTCCCTTAACTTCCCTTCACCCCCTACAAATCCAAACATGCCCTTAAACCATGATGCAATGTTACATGTCCGAAATCCACCTACAAGGGGATCATTGTTCATGTACATCATAAATAGAACAACCATCTAAATTATCTAAGTCAAGTAATTTCAACTATCGTCACACATTCCTAACATCATCACGTCAGACATACTAGAACACAGAAAACATGCATATATTGTTGAGAACTCAAAATCATATGTTTGTCAAATACTACTAGTTTTTAGGACTTTTTGGGCAAACTCTAAAACCATAGGAAATCAAAGCTGTATGTAAAATCTTCTGGATATAGGTAATCTCCACTTATAGAAATGTATGAAGAAGGAAGGACTGAAATTGAATGTCTAAAATCCAAATTATGAAAAAGGGTAATAAACTTAATGTCTGCCAAAACGATGTCGGATAATGAGGCAGCCCCGAATCAAAGCACATTCCGATGCCTACTTTTGCATTAGTTTAAGTTCTAAATGGTATCAGAAGACATGAGGAACCCATGGAGGAACCAAGCTCAACTTGCACATTAGATCCTTTCTCTTGACCATAGAAGTTGGGAACGTGGTACACTATAGCAAACCGCGACCCGGGTTCAGTCGCCCTAGATCGCGTGGAATACGATCAAATTCACCAACTCCAGCGACCCAATTTAGAATCCAAACCTGTTAAAATTTTGAAGAAAAATAACTCTTTTGAAAGAATAAACAACGAAAAAAAAGTGAGAAATCAAGATCCTTTTACCATTAATATCATTTAGCATTTAAGAATCAAACCTCAAACGTACCACGTTTCCTGGCAATACCATATAAGCCTACCCCTATTGTACCTAATTCCTAATCAGTGGTGTACCATCTCTCCATCCTGTGAACGAGACTAACCAGGTTCCATGCAACTATGCTCTTAACTCACTGCCCGACAAACTGATGTTGGCTTGAAGAACAATTTGCATCAGAGTGTCTGGCAATAGCTTATCTTGTGCCATTTGAATTATTATTCCCTCATCTTTTGATCTCCCCCATTCTAAAAAGTACCGATCTCATTAATTCATGTCAAGAACCATTTGCATCTAGTTTGGGATCAAACGACGAAGTATTTATAAAATGAGAGCATAATTTCAGTATTAATCAGAAGTATAAGCTTTTTATAAGTAAATAAGTTAGACTATCAAACCTACTAATTTAAACCATAAAATAATAGAACCCAATCATGCCCTAAACTCAAATTTGAGCGAAGGATTTGTAGAAGATGCTTTCCTTAGAGAGATATCAGTTGAGCTTCAAGCTTCTCCAATGGTAGATTGGGCAAAAGAACATCTTGCTTCTGAGATTAGAGATGAGAAAGTCATAAGTTTGAGCATTTTGGACGAGGTAGAGAAGAGATTATATGTAATTTTCTTGGGAGAGGGTCTATTGCACTAGATTGGGGTTTGAACTCCATTCTTCACTTCTAACTTTATCTCCTGTCTATGGTAGTCGCCATGGCCAGTTTAAGCAACTTTACGAATATTCTAAAATGTTGATTTTGATGACATATTATACATGGATTAATGATGTTGAAATCTTTTAAAAATTTATTTTTAGATAGTTCATGTGTAGTAGATAACATCTATAGGTTTGAATTTTTATTTTTAGGTTATGAATTTTAAAATTTGGTTGATAGGGTTTACATGTTGGATACCATTAATAGCAGCCTAGCTCAACTATATGTGTGTGTGTGTTTTTGTGTATTTTCACTAACATAAACACCAAAATGATAGTTTTTCTAACAAATCCCAGCATTAAAGCAACTGTACCTACTCCATTTCATGTACAATAGGAAATGAATCTTCATTTTTAACATCTTTTCCTTAAGAAGTCATTAGTCAAATCTAATGCAACCTTGATATTAGTGTTGGATGTAAGGATCTTTAGGAAATGAATATTTATTTATAATAAACATTTTCTTTAGAATGTCATTAGTCAATATTTGGGTCAGATAGCAGTAATAATGGAAAAGTAGAGGAATTAGAACTTGAAATGGCTTCTCCATAATCTATTATGACGTTCATTATAACTTGATGAATTGGTATCAAAATTTTCTTTATCTTTGGAGAAAGGGCAGTAAATACATCTTTATGCATGCATATTTGATGTGGGAGTGCCATTCCCTTTATCATTCTATTGAGACTTTACTCCATTTTAAATGCCAAATAACGTTCCTTTTTTAAGTTTTTATCGTGGATGTCAATTGAGTAACTTAATTATCTGCTGAGACTCTATTGTTTTGTTTCTAAATCAGAAGACATTATAAGGGTCGCCAAACCGCGTTGCATAGTCAGCAATGTTCAGGAAGTTCTTTACCTCAACCAACAGATGGTTTTTGTAGCATCATTGAGAAACCTCTTGCTTCATCAGTAAGTCCTGTAGGAACAATATTCTAATCTATCTGATAAGTGTATGATTTCATATTTTTGTTAAATATATTACTCTATTCTTGTTTTATTTAGTCTATTTTTATCCAGATGCAAATTCTGCCAAAGTAGTGGTTTCTGTTGACAACCTTAGTAGCTATCTTGTATTCATGCTTACAGTTTGTGACTTTAGGTTCCTTATTTTGGAAATCATGTCTAGCGAGGTGAATCATTTGTTAGAAGTCAACAACTCCTGCCCACCTAACCTCCCTATCTACCTAGCTACAATAATCATCTAACTCTAATAGTATATACCTACCTCATAAGAAAACTTATGTATACCCCCTAAGTTTGATTTGTAAGGCATCCTAGTAGCAGAAAGAGAAAGAGAAAGAGAAAGAGAGAGAGAGAGAAAGAGAGTATTTGTATTTAAGAGTATAATGTATTTGTACCACTAAAGAAATAATAACAATATATTTCTTAGTATCCACCACTCCTCTCAACTCAACAAGTAATATCATAGCCTGGTTTAGGGGCGTGTATCTGCTTATCGTATACTCTGTGACTGTCACCAAAGGTGGATCCTCCACATCAGAAATTAAGTTAGATTATCATTTACCCTTTGAAAGTACTGGACACTGTTTACGAGTACAATACTATTTATAAATATGATTACTATTCACGAATATAATTACTATTCATAAGTACTATTACTATTCATATAAAATAGTAGAAGTTGTAGCTCGTGATAGAAGCAAGGCGGTTAGGGATCTGCTCTCTCCTATGGTGATCCTATCGGCATTCTTGAAGGCTGAAGTTCGTGTTCAGTTCGGGACTGTGAAGTTGGTTGATTAGGGATTAGACTTTGCGTGGAGATATTGAAGCAATACCACATCACGATGGCGAATCTGGCAAATACGACTACTACACTCAAGAAACTTAATGATAATAACTATAACTACTGGAAGACGTGTATAAAATACTGTTTACAAGGACAAGACCTCTAGGAGGTCATCGGGGGTGCTGAAACTACAACACATCGGGAAGCTGGCGAAACACTAAGAAAGTGGAACATCAAAGCTAACAAGGCTATGTATGTGCTAAAGACGACAATAAAAGATCTCGTAGACTATATGCGAGATGCTAGAACTTTGAAGGAGGCATGAGATACGCTCGCAATACTCTTATAAAAAAAGAACGATGATCAACTTCAACTCCTGGAGAATCAATTGATGACCTTACAACAGAAAAATTTGACAATCAGTCAGTACTTTAAGAAAGTAAAATCACTCTGTTCAGATATTGCTCAACTAGATTCAGATTCTAAAGTATCCGATGCAACGACGAGGAGAATAATCATTTACGGTTTAAGATCAAAATATCACAGACTTGTTGTTGCTACACACGAGTGGCCGATTCAACCAACATTATTAGAGTTGGAGAGTTTGCTCGCTACACAAGAAACCCTAGCTAAACAAATGAACGACGTTTTAATAAAAAGCGAAGATGAAACACTCTTCAGTAGTAAGGAGAGAGGCAAACCAAGAGGCGTGAGGAAAGAGGAGTATGAAAAGGTTGGTTCAAGTTAGGACGGTCATACACCGACAAAATACAACAGCATGAGAAGCAATATGATCGTCGAGCAAGGAGACCTGACAATAGCTGCTACAACTGTGGGAAGAAAGGACAATTTGTCAGAGACTACCGTTATAAAAGAAGGTCTGCAGAGGGCAATGCTGCAACATCGCACAGATGTCAAGATGATGAAGAAGAATGGGATGTCCAAGCATTCGTGGCTATCATTAAAGATGTACTAGTCGACGAAGACGAGGTTGTAGAAGAATCCGAGTCTGCATTTGCAGCGGTTTCAGATCGAGAAGAAATCAGTTATAATAAAAATTGGATCGTTGATTCTGGCTGTTCCAATCACATGACGGGAGATAATGGGAAGCTTGTCAACATGAAGGAGTATAAAGGTGACCGAGAAGTTGTGATAGCGAATAATTCAAGATTACTTATCACATACATCAGAAAGACTATATTTATGCCTCGCTACAACCCAAATTGAATATAACTACAAGATGTATACTATGTAACGGGTATGAAAAAGAATCTTCTATTTGTTTCCTAATTAACAGCTTCTGAGAATTATGTAGTATTTGGACCACAAGATGTAAAAGTCTATTGAAACTTGAAGCCACCTAGAGAACCTATCATAGACGGAATGTAGAATATGTTTATGTGATGTCGACATAATCGACATACACAATTAAAGCCAAAAGAATGAGACGATTGATTTGTGGCATGCTCGGCTTGGTCATATGAGCTATCACAAGCTCAAAATTATGATGGAAAAGTTAATGTTGAAGGGGCTACCACACTTGGAGATTCGAGGAGGGGCCATATGTGAAGGTTGTCAATATGGTAAGACGCATCAATTACCGTATCAGGAGTCATAGTTCAGAGCCAACGAATCTTTGGAGCTTGTACACTCAGATGTATTATTTAGTAGAGTAAAACAAGAATCAATCAGTGGGATGCAGTATATGATCACTTTTATCGACGATTACTCGAGGTACGTCTGAGTTGATTTTATAAAAAAAAAGTCTGAAGCACTCTAAATTCAAGCAATTTCGAGACGAAGTCGAAGGAGAACTTGACAAGAAGATTCGTTGCCTACGCACAAACAACGGGGGAGAGTACACATCAAAGGAGTTTTACGACTATCTAAAGCAACACAAGATTCAGTGACAGCTAATGTGCCCAAATACTCCGTAGCAGAATGGCGTAGTCGAAAGAAAAAATCGTCACCTCGTCGAAATTCGCAGAAGCATGCTTCATGCCAAGAACGTGCCAGGACGTTTTTAGGCCGAGTGTATGAAGACTGCAGCGCACGTGATCAATCGGTTACCACAACCGAAGTTGGAGTTCATGTCGCCCTTTCAGAAGTTGTGGAATACCAACCCAACTGTAAGCCATTTCAGAGTCTTCGGTTGTGTATGTCATGTCTTTGTGCCTAATCACTTACACAGCAAGTTCGATAAAAATGCTATAAGATGTATATTTGTGGGGTTGATAATAAAAGAAAAAGACGGAGATGTTGTGATCCCACAACTGGACAACGCTACACATCAAGGAATGTTGTGTTTGACGAAGCCTCCTCTTGGTGGGCTTCACAAGAAGTTGCACTCCCAGACTCTAGTGATCTAGAAGATCGGTTGCAGAAGAAGCTGGGGGAGCGAGGAAGGACTACGTCAATCAGAGAAGACAAAATCAAGCTCTTCAACATCCTCAAAGGAGAATAATTCATAGACAACTGGTGTTGATCAGACAACGTCAGAAGAAGAGCACCCAAGCCAAATAGAGAATATCGAAAAAGAACCAACAAAACAACTTTGAAGATCAACCAGACCCAGAAAGCCGAATCTCAAGTATGCTAATATGGCCATTATGAAAGATGTGAAGGAACCATCTACCTTCAAAGAAGCATACGAGAGTCAAGAATGGAGACAAGTAGTGAGAGAGGAAATCCAAGCACTGAAAAGGAAATTAGAATTTTTGAACTTGTGGATAGAGAAGTCGCTGTTGGGGGGAGTGTTAGAAGTCAATAGCTCCCCACCCCACCTAACCTCTTCAACCTACTTAGCTACAATAATCACCTAACTCTAATAGTGTATACCTATCCCATAGGAAAGCTTATATATACCCCCTAAGTTTGATTTGTAAGGCATCTCAGTAGCAGAAAGAGAAAGAGAAAGAGAAAGAGAAAGAGAGAGAAAAAGAGAGAGAAAGAGAGTATTTGTATTTGAGAGTATAGTGTGTTTGTACTACTAAAGAAATAATAACAATATATTTCTTAGTTCACACCACTCCTCTCAACTCAACATCATTATTGCAAAATTTTCTCAAGTAGTTTCTTCAGACTTCTGATAGGGTTATTTTAGCTCTTCTTTTAATTTCTGATCCTTCAATCCAACCTTGAGAGGTTCTTCTCTGTGATGACTCTTCAGTTCATCTTTGCCTGTGCTGTTACCACCTTAGCACTTCTCTGCATGTTATCCGTGGCGGTTGCGACTCCTAGATCGGAGTTGCCTCTGTCCAATTATTCTACTTAAATATAAATCCATCATCAATTGCTCTTTGTATCATTGAAAGCCTCCCTTGTCTATAGATTTCTTGCTTAGGAATTTTCCATAAAAATGTAGAGGTTTGCATCAAGTCCCTAGCATGTTTCAGAATTGAGCCAATTCTCTAGGGGCATAGTGAATTGTTGCGGTTACTGACCAAATCAAATAGTGATGATTCATTTTCCAGAAGTGACCCTTAATGAATCTGAATGGGAGAAAAGGATTCATGTTACCAATATTTATCGGAGTAAAAGGTTCTGTTTTATGTCGTATACAATATCCATCCATCGCGACATTCCTAGTATGGCACATTCATATACCATGCTAAATAATTAGTCATACATTTATTCAAAATCAAAATATATGACATCGTAGAATTATTAACTTCAGCTCATTTGTGGTCCTACTCAAGGCCTTCTACAAGTTCAACTACAAGGCATGTTTACTAGCATTCTGCCGGACTTTAGTTTGGAACTGTTAGCTATTAGCATGTTAACTTTTCTTTCATCATGTGCAGAAGTGTTTATCATGTAACTTGTTAAACATTCCTGCACCACCAGTAGCTATTTGCATTAAACTTGGCCTTTCGTTGACATGCAGAAGTATGTGTACTTTTTTTTTTCCTTCAAAATTTTAGTTCAACAGCTTACCATGTCCACTCTGGAGAAAAGATTGAAGCTTCTCCATTCACCTTAATGCTATTTCTCCTCCGCTTTTTAGGCACGGACAAAAACTAAGATTAATAAATCCTTGGAGGTGAAAACAATCACAGGAAAGTTACGAAAGGTCATAAGTTTACACCTTAATCATTTACTCACTCAGCAATCAAATCATACTGTTTCAAATATGATTACTAATTTACTGATAAAAATCTACAAACACCTTCTTTTAACGAAGCCTTAAAATCATTCATGTCCCTAAGTTAATGAATAATAATACCTTCTGTTTATGTATCTAAACTATTGAATACCTATTGAAAATGTTAAATCGAAATAGGCTCTTATAGTAGGTTTCGAATGAATCCATGTCCATAATGATGAGAATAATTTAGTTATTGATATGTTCAAACAAAGAAGCAGTTTTGGAAATTTACCAACAACCTAGAACATGCTAACAAGGTAACTTTTATCTCCTTTTTAGTAATTGATGGGAGGGGCATGATCCCCGCTGTCCCATGCATGAAGGTGCACCTGTTTTTTGGTCTCAGGCTCATATTGAAGTTTCATTGTGCTAATTTTTCGCCCTCTCTCTTTTCTCTTAGAGTCCTTCTGGTTGTGGTAAAAAGTTGACCATTGGTGAAGATGAATCTCCTACCCCTTCAAGCAGTGACTCGACAGTTGCTTGCGATAGAGCACCATCTGCTTGTGCTGCATTTGGTGAGGAGCCTCTCAATACTTCTACTAAGTTCAACAGTTCAAGGACATTGTCTACAGGCATGATATCACATGTGCCAGAAGAGGATCTAAATGAAATTGAAAATAAGAAGAAAATACTTATTTTGGATAGTCAGAAACAAAGTCTAAGTGGACATCAGAACCATGAGTCATCAAAAAAATATTGCCAAAGTGATTACTTGCTAGAACATATTTTGTCATCCTCTGAGGAAAACCCCAGGAGTAATAATTCATCTTCTCTCTGGGGCAATGATGATATCACAGAAGATATAATTCCCGATACACATTGGTTGGATTCAAGGGAATTTAAGCAGCCAACTCTTGTTGCAGATGATTCAGCAATGCAGACCTCCTTGCTAGATTATCCAATTTCAATCTTGCAAGCAATGGCTCTTAGTACTTCCCAAGATTCTGAAAAGGTGCCCCCTCACATTAACTGGGACGGTGCATCTTCAGACTGGGAACTAATGAACTTAGCTTCTGATTTTGAGGCTACATGTACCCCAGGGAATCCCAAAAGTGTCAACACTTATAATACAGCAGGTGTTAATTCAAGTCGGAAAATTGGTGAATGTTCAAAACTTCCAGATAATGACAAAGGAACCTCTGCCCAAGGTGAACAGCACAGAGTTCAAAATGTTGATCCATGGTACGAGGGGGATCTAAGAAATGGCATGATGCCAGATGAAAATTATGCCAACTCAAGACAAGATGGAGTTAACTCAAACATCCCTCGTTGGAATCATATTGTAGCTGATCATCTGGATAACCCTCAGAATCTCGCAGATCATCTTTATAGCATTAATAGAGGTGGTGATTGCTCAAATGTACCCTATTCTTGGTCGCCATTCAATAGCAGTGATACAAGATCTGCCTTCGCAATTTTAGGTAGTGCTAACCAAACAAGTAGCCTCTACCAGCCAGGTAACAGTTCATTTACATTTCAATCACCTTATAAAAGATTGCTTACAGTCTGCCATGTCATATTTTGTCCAATTAAGTTGCAAAGGAAAAAGCTTAATAACCCACTTGTTTGTTTTTCTTCATTTGTTTCTTTTCTTAATGATATAAACTTCGTTATTTTGTGTTAATTGCAATCTCTTGCATGGAACTAGTCTCCACTGTTCTTCGGAAATCCTAAGAGATTATATCACGTCTATGAATAGTATGTCATTCAATTTCTTATCGTCATAATAAATTTCAGTATATAATTCAATTTCATTATATAATTTAATATCTAATTGTAATAAGAAACAACAACCATAGGCAAAAGTAACCGGGTTCAAGGGACAACCACCCACACAACATCCTGACCTTTTCCCATGAAGATGAATTAAGAAATGATGCATGAAGAAAACCACAATAGAGCTCAATGAAATAGACTATCCAAATTTAAGGCCAATGTCAACCTAGATTTTAATCCTCCATGCAGAAAAATCTCTCAAGAAGGAGACTATGCTTGTTGATACAAGGTTTTCCTAATTTCGTTTTATCATTTTTTCCCTTTTATTATAACTCTTCAAGTTCCAATGTAACATGACAACCGTGCGTTTTTACTTGTTGAGCTATTTTACTTGTTTATTTGTCTCAGCTTAGCATTTCTCCATACCGTATTGCTTATTTAATGGTTTTATTGTGCCAACAGCTTCACCCATTGCAAAGGCAGTAATATCTCGACAACCAAGATATCCTCCTGGTTTCACTCCTAGAAATATGTCAAATGAAGGCCAGTTATCTTCTAGATCCATGAGATCTGGTATGCTTTTTCTCTTATTATTATACAGACTTATCCAGAAATAATAATGATGGTCACTTAGAACCCCACAAAAAAAGAAGAGTAATGGTTTCATGATACAGGTAACGCTCAATTCAACTTCTCTAGAAATCAATCTCTTGCAAATTCTTCCCAAATAATACCCAGTAACAACAGCTTGTTCAGTGTGGAGCCTATCGATGCTCTTAAAATGGTATCCAGGGCACATCATACTTCTCCAGACTATTCCCATTTGCTTGTTGATGACAGTGGCAGGAGACTTCAGTATCAGTTGAATTTAGGAAGCAGCATGTACCAGGATCAAACAGAAGTAGATCAAGATGAAACTTTCCTATCTCAAATGGCTTTGTATGGAGGGCAACAAACTTATCATAGATCAGGGGAAGCTTCTACTTTTAGTAGCCCTACTGCAATTGATCCTCGGGTTATAGGCAGAAGAACTCAATCTGGGCTGACTAAAACTACGAACACTGGGCATCATCAGTTGCAGCAACCATTTTGATTGCTAACCTCGCTGAAGAAATTTCTACTGGAAATTGAAGGAACCAACAAGTCCATTATAGGAATGTACATGCGGAATGGGGGATAATTTGGAAATAGTATCTTATTTCTGAACTTTCTAAGCTCCTGAAACTTGCAGTGTTTTCAGGTAATGGCCGAAGGCTTATATAGTGAACTATATGGACATATATATATATATATATATATATATATACATGTTACAAAAATATGTGTAAACAATATAAGTAATCTGTCATGCCAATAAGCGTCAGACAATATATTTGCTATGAACTCTTAAATATAAATATATATTTGAATAAAAATTCGTATCTTTAAGTTTCCATGCTGCTCGACAGTTTCAGGAGCTTGTTAGTTTTTGCATTTTATTTTTTCTTCCTTTTTTGTTTATCAGCGAGGATTAGGTTATTGGCTATTTTCTCTTATTTGCTACAAGCAAATGTCTTGGGAAATATTCTCTAACTGAATCGCAGGCAAACTTTAAGCAGACGATTCACTATCTTCACCCATATTTTACTGCATTGAGGGAAAGATAAATGTACCATTGTCTGAGATGCTTTTTATGGGTAACATTAGCCTTTTTTTAGTTTTTGTGAACGTGGCTCATATATATTTTTGGAGTAACTCCATCTGAGACCTTCGACTCTTGATCATGTTCCACAACTCCATGAGGTGAAAATTTAGTTGGAGTTGTTTGCAAAGTTTCTTCTGGCATTGATTGATCGTATCTTGATGCAGACGGTTACCTTTTGAAGGTTCGGACACACTCTACTTTATACCATCAACAATTTGAGAAGATGTGTTTATGGGAATGCAAATTCTATTCTATTGCAAGACGCACGTGAAGAATGTTCTTTTTTCCCCTTAATGTTTTATGCTAGTGGTTATCATAGGTGCAAAAAGGTCGGTTTTTTCTCAGATGCTAGTAATCGTGTTTTTGTTATCTAAAATAATTTTTTTTAAATCAAATGCATATGAGATGGAGATGGAGATGGAGATGGAGATGGATTAGATAGCCAGATGAGAAGGGGGAAAAAAGTAAGACGTCTCACTTTTCTTTTCTTTTTTTCTTTTGAAAACAATTGCTTCGGTGCTTCAATAATAAAAAGAAAATTTTAATTGGTAGGAAATCAAAATTGGCCTAAATAATAGGAGGTTCATTTTCCTCTTTCTTTTCCTTTAAATGCCCCCCCTCTGTTTAATCTCTCCAAAATCACTGTTCACACTTTACTTTTTCATTTTTATTTTTTTAAAAATAAAGCGCTCCGCCATGCAAGAAATTTTATAAGGCCCATCCCTTATAAGAATGACTTTAGTCTTTTTGTATTTGTAGTCCTATCAACATTTCCGTGCTCATAAAAATGGACTTTGTTACAATCAGATTCTAGTGCTCATACAGAAGTTACTAGCATAATTTTGTTAAAAAATTTTTAAATGACCAACTTCATAAAGGAAATCGAGATTGGAGACTTAGGCTCCACGACAAGCAGGGGTTGATCTAGTATGATGGTGTCAAGTGACACCTCTCAAAATCTTACAGTTTAAAGTTTAAAGAAGCACATATGACCTTGTGAAGCAAAGTAACACCTCTCCAATCAGTGGGCCAAACATAACCCATTAACTTAAATGGCCTAATTCACTACTTACCAAAAGCTACCATCAATTTTGAGAGAGAGAGAGAGAGAGAGGGATATATTTAGCAGTATTTTGAATAAGATTATTATGTAACAAGTTTAAAACACAAACACGCATAGATTAATTGTAGATGTATTTAGTTAAATATATTGTGTACGTATCTCATTAAAATTTCTGATTATATATTGAATGTGAGAGAAAAATCACTAATATCGTTAGTTTATATATACTATGATACCACTATTATGAATTTCTAGCGTCGACTTGGACAACAAGTTCAAATTAAATCCAAATTTGGCAACATCGGGGTCCAATGCTGCAATAAAAATACACAGTCTCACAAACAAAAGGGAAAAAAATTTCAAGTCGGCAGTAACTTCTACACACTGTTGCAATCATAACAATTTCCTCACTTCTTGTTTGCGTAACCATTTTTTCCCTCTACACATGTTCAAACTTTTTACACAAAAAAATTTAAATTTCGTATATAGTCTTCGATTTAATCACGCACAATAAAGTGTAGCAAACCTTTCACATGATTTGCAGAGGTAAAATGAGCTTCATCATTTCAACAAAAAAAAAGAGCTCATCACAAGTATATGATCTCAACCCATACATGAATCACCTTACAAAAATAAATGCAGTTAAATCTTAAACCCATGAGACGCAACACATTAAAAAAGAAGGAAGAAAAGAAAAGAAAAGAAAAGAAGACATGTCATGCCCCCAAACCGCACTGCAAAATCTGGGGTTAGCGACAATGGCGACAAGTGCGTGAATGCATGCCAAGCCTATGGTGCGTTTATATATATATGAGAAATATGGGTATGCTTGGTACCAAACACAAATTTTGTGCTTGGTAGTGAGGTGGCACAATCCCCTCCACTCATTCAAATGTGGGACCCCATCCATATGGGTTGAGGAGTGCATGAGTATATGCAACCATTTGAATGAGTAGAATGGATTATGCCACATCACTACCAAGCACTATTTTTTTTTCTTAGTACCAAAAATACCCATTTCTCTCTCTCTATTATATTTCTATAATATATATATACTATATATATATATATATTATATATATAGTATATATTTATATATTATAATATATACTATATAATATTTATATATATATATGAGTCATTAATGATGTATCCCTTGATAGGAGAGGGATTCCACTCATGAACAATGTGTGCATAATTCCCACCATGTAAAATTTTCCTCTCCACTTTATTCTACTCCCATTCACATGGTGGGTATTCTAAGTTGCCGCCATCATTGTCAAGCGAAGAAATCCGCCATTGTCAAAGATATCAATTAAATCTTTTCCATCTCTCTCTCTCTCTCTTAATAATATTTTTACTAATGATACTACATTATACCTCATGATACTACCGAGAGAGAGGGACGACGGAGAGGAGCGGAGAGCACGAGAGAGAGGAGAGGCGAGACGAGACCGAGAGGATTAGACGAGAGAGAGATGAGATTACGGATATTAAATGTAGTATCCTTACTACTTTCGCAGGCGAGATTCCATTGCCAATGATGTGACACCTAATTTCCACTTGCTAAAATTTATCTTCTTACTTACTATTCTCTCTCCTTCACATTGTGGTAGATATAGCCACATATCATTGTCAATGAGGAAATCCACCTCCTTATCAAGGATACCATCTTATAAATTATACTTTATATATATATATATAAATATACTTATATATTAGAGAGAGAGAGATGGTTGAGAGAGAAGAGAGAGAGAAGATTAATGAGTATCATCTTGACAGATGTAGCGGGGATTCCCTCACTTGACAATGATGTGCACTATGCTTCCCCATTCACAGGTGGCTGATAGTCCCAATCCATTATAAGAGAAAATCCTCGCTCCTTATCAAGTATACCATTAGTCTCTCTCTCTCTCTCTCTCTCGCTCTCTTCTCTCTACTAAATTATATATATAATATTATATATACTATATTAATATATATACTGGCCTCAGTCGTATATTATATATATGTATATAATATATATATAGAAAAAATAGACAAAACTGCTTACCAAGTGGTTCCAAAGCAACTTGCGATATGATGTGACCTATATTCGATGTCCTACCATCATATCAATTGGAGTTGAGTGACAGGTGTGATTCTATTGCTCCTTATACTTCGAGGTGTGATTTAAGGGAAAGATTAGACAAGCATCACTACCAATTGTTTAAGCGACTCTGGTACCAAGGTTCTTCATTATTTCTATACGGTTATATTATATATATACTATATATGTATAATTATATTATATACTTATATTTTATATATAATTACATATATTAAAATTATATATCATATATATATATATATATATTTATATATTAATATAATACTATATACATATAGAGAGAGGAGAGATACGAGAGAAATTCGGAGGTCTTCTCCTGTTACGAGGACGACGAGCAGAGACGAGGAGAGAAACTTGTAGGTGAGCTGTCACGCCCGTCGTTCGTTCAGCGTGCGCTGCAGCTGGTTTTTTTGAAAAAAATCCCACCGCTTCCCCTTTTTGGATTTACCTAACTCTCTCTTCCTCGTGACCTCAAACCACAGATCCCACCCTCTCCTCTTCTCCCTCCAAGATCCAGATCTCTCTCTCTTACACCCACGATCCAGATCTCTCTCCCTTCTTGCCTACTCCACCTCCAGTCCACCCATACCCCCATCAAGCCCTCTCCACCCTCCTCCCCTCCCCTAAATCTCTGCCACGACACCGACGTCACCCGAGAACCACCAAAAAACCCCCCGTGTGTTCTTCCTCCTCCGCGTCGAGCTGCTGATCTCGTCGCCATCACTCTCGTCGCCATCACTCTCACCCGAGAACCACCAAACAACCCTCCTCCTCCCCTCATCGGTCTCGTTGCCATCACTCTCATCGTCGAGCTATTGATCTCGCTCCTCCCCAAATCGAAGGCATTGCAGGACCCCCTTCCTCCTCCGCGAGCCCAAATCTCGCTGCTCCCAAAAGCTTCATCCAGGACTCTTCCTGTGACGCCCCTGGGTTCACACGAGGCTGCAGTCCTCGGTGAAACCAAGAATATCAAACCTGCCATGCACCACACCGTGCAATAACATGTTTCACCATCACAATTAACATATCTCTAGTAGAGTCAACAACAGGTGTAGGTACAAAAGCAAGTAAAAGATAATACAAGAGATACTGACGAAATCAAAGAGATCAAATTAACACATCTCCTCAACCAAATAAACTGGAATACATAGTCAAAGTCTGAAATGAATAACAATGATCTGGAGATCTCAACATGTCTCAAAGTACATAATATCTGATACAGGAAATAAGGCACACAGCCTTTACAACTCTAGAACATAAACCTCTTAAGTCGAAAAATGTCTCAAGTGGAGTACAAAATAAAATACATCTAATAAGAGGATAAATAGAAACTAGTAAGGGTCGTCCCCATCCTGCGACTCTTCGGGCTCCTGGCTCGTTACCTGAAAGGGGGAGGGACAACGAGCGTCAAA